CCATCCAAAAATGAAAAAGAGTTCTTAGAGCCATTGAAAAAAAAAAGAATGGAATCAATTATGAAATTTATACTTTGAGAAACTTTTGCAACGAATGCCCAAAAATTGTACTGCAGTCATCAAGGATAAAGGAGGTTATTTTGACGAGAGTAAAATTTAATCATAAAATGCTTTTTTTCTTTTTGTCTTAATAAAATTGCTAATAAAAAAATCATTTCTCACATTTTTTAAGCATTTATAATAATTTTCTCTTATTTAAAGTGCGAAAGAACTACATTTTGGGCGAATTTAAAAAATTACTAGGGGTGTCCTCAAACTTCTGAATTATAGTATATATATATATATATATATATATATATATATATATATATATATATATATATGTATGTATGTATGTAAGAGTGGTTCAGTAACTCACAGTGCCCCTAGTGTAAATATATATGGGACAGAAAATGATGGATATATATATACATATAGTTCAAATTCTCCATGTAATACTTTTGTGGCTACAACATCAATGACAACAGTCCGTTTACATAAAAAAATACTGACAAGGCCAACAGAGATATCGTGAGGGTTTTGTTGGTGCCATCGCGTCTGGCAGAATTGCAGAGGTGCGAATAGCAGTAACAGACTTTGGTCAGACTTCGACTCCCAGTGCTCAGGTAACAACCAGGGGCTTTGAGGCTGAAATCTTTGGCCACACACGTGAAGGATTCAAATACAACCACTGCAAGAAGAAAAAGAAAGAAAAGAAAATTAATGAACGACCTGTCGAGAAAAATGGAGGAAAAACAATTAAATAAATGAAATAAGTATTTTTGTTCAATAAATTACACCGAATAAAGTAATAATCATCCTGCGGGGGTGAGGATCAGGTGGGGCTTTTGGTGTTGCTTGGAGTGTTGAGAGTAGTGAGCTGTAAGAGATTTTCTTTAATCAATGGAAAGCGATAGTGGCGATAACGGGATGCTAAGGACATCATGAACCAAACGTGTGAGCAACGATGAGGTCTTAGGTTGCAAACAAGGAGGAGGCTTAGATTTAACATCAGGAAGAGGCAGCTGAAGTTTCTGGGACACATCATGAGAAAAGAGGGCCTGGAGAATCTGATACTCACGGGTCGAATAGAGACAAGGGAAAACAACGCATGGCATACCTGGCGGATTTAACCACGTGGTCTGGGAGAGGAAGCAGAAGGAAGGAACTTTTTGAGAGCTGCAATGAATAGAGGGAGGTGGTCTCCTACGTCCTGAAAAGGACATGGAACATAAAAAAGAAAGTGACGACAAGAACCATCGCTCTAAGTGATTTCTGCCCTCCCCCAAGAACATGAACGATATCACTGACTCGGCTTTGGCAATTTCAACCCTACAAAAGGTACTGTTCTGGATAGAATTCCTGCAGAACCATAGCTCAGAACTAACCCCAATTTTTGGCAAAATTTTTTGACAGCTGCTAAAAAGAGAAATACTATCTATCTGTCTATGACAGACTATACATATTTATCATACTTATTATAAAACCCAGGTTTGTGTGTGTGTGTGTACGTTTACATATTGGATCGGATTTCCTACATTTTTCAACCGATTTCAACTAAACTTCACAGGACTACGTAAAATTACCTTGCGGTGGTTCTGACAGCGCCAAAAATTGGAAAAAACACAATTGTTTTTGCACGAAATCAATTTGAAAACACGATTAAGAGGCATCGCTTTCGCGGAATGAAAGGGTGACCGCTCATATGGAGTTATACTTATTATAAAACCCAGGTTGTTTGTGTGTATGTGTGTGTGTGTGTTCGTTTATATATGGGATCGAATTTCCTACATTTTTCAACCGATTTCAACAAAACTTCACTTTTTTTTTGGCAGGTAGTGTTTCTTATTGTCTTGCACACTTTTTTCTTTATTTTTACATTCAGAATGCTTTAAAAATTCCATTTACAAGACAATTGTTTATAATAAAATTCTATTCAATTGGTAGACTCATAACGATTGAAAACAATGTTTTTGTTTGAGTTTGGGTTTGACCAATTCGTAAAAAAAAACAAAAAACAAAACAAAAAAAAAAAACAAAAACAAAAACTAATTAAGACATGCGTGTCCGTCAACCTTAAACAATAATCTTTATCAATTTTATTTTTCAGTCTTTATGATGGTCGATACTTGATCTATCCTGTTACATCCCCGGGCAACGCCGGGCTCTACTGCTACTATATCAATAATAACCAGTTTTATGTCGATCTATATATATTCTATGCTTTTCTATTTAAACCAGAATGCTCAATTTGGTAGTTATATCTAGAACATTTCGACTGTTGTACCCCTAAATCTGCATGAATCTGCTGAAAAGATACATGGCCTGGTGGATAAAGTGTTAGTTTGAACAGGTCTGCTCCCTTGAAAGTTCTTAGTTCACTCTCTGTATATGTGAAATTCATGAAGGAAGGCGACGTAGTTTTTTATAGCCCAAGTACTTTCGATCTTTTTCAAGATCATCTTCAGGGGTAAATTACTTAAGTTTGTCTTCGTAATTTACCCCTGAAGATGATCTTAGAAAAAATCGAAAGTACTTGTGTTAGAAAAACTACAGTAGCTTCCCTGATGAATTTTCATCTTAACATCAAGAAACTGGAAAGGATAAAATAAATAGACTTGATATGTTTATATTATTCAATGAAACATGTTTGAGTGAAGATATGCTGCTTAAATACAACACACACACACACACACACACACACACACACACACACATATATATATATATATATATATATATATATATATATAAGGCATTTTTTATGTTTATACGTTCTTTTTATAGATACAAATATTTAAGTCAATGCTCTGTTTATCATAAACAGTATTAACAACATTTACTGGCCTGTATGTCTGAACTGGAGTGGTACTAAGTCGGTCCTAAAATAGGTTCGACGTCGTTAGGAACTTGATATAATAGGTAATGACGCAGAGAAATCTAGTAGTGGTCGCTGATACTTTAGTATCCGACTAACGGTCGTCCGGCATCGACTGACTGACCGACCCACTGAGTCGACTCCTCGTTACTCTTACTACTCCTACTTATTATAGGTGGGAGAGTCTATTAACTATAGGATAGGTGTGTTCCACTATAACAATGTCCGAGAAATTTTCATAGAAAATATGCGTCCTCCGACAGAAATCGAAACGATACGGAACCGTCATATAGCCTGACGAGCCTCTAACCGATTGTGCAACAGAGGAGCAAGGTCAATTTTACAGTTTTTAAACACAATTCCCTATGATTTTCTCTCATTCATTCATATCTTCTCAATGTAAACAAATGTAAACAAATTTTAAACAAATATTTCTGTTTATACGTTACTACAAAAATTTAAGTAAATGCTCTGTTTATAATAAAATAAATAAATGGTATAGCACATCAAGCTATATGACGGTTCCGTGTAGGATACAGGTTCGATCTCTGTCGGAGGACATATATTTTCTGTGAATTTTCTCGGATATTCAGGCCGGTAAATGATGTTAATTCTGTTTATTAAAAATAGAGCATTTACTTAAATATTTGTATGTATAAAAATAGCGTACAAACAGAAAATATATTAAAATAATTATCGGACTTAGTTCATTTCATCATATATATATATATATATATATATATATATATATATTTCTATATAAATTTTAAATTCTTTTACATAAAATAAATAGACAACACTTGCCTATATTATTTAATGAAACATGTATGAGTGAAAAAAATGATGCCTAAATACACACACACACAATTTATATATATATATATATATATATATATATATATATATATATATATATATATATATATATAAAAAATGATCTTAATGGATTAAAATGATGGTTAAATAAAGTGGACTTAAATTTCTTGTTTCAATCCATGTGTCTGCTTGTCCTGAAAATTCACATAGTCTGGATCAGTGGAAGAAAGGGCAAGCGAATAAGGTAATTAACACGTTGACCTCCAGAGTTCAACTGCGAAATTTGACTTTAAGCGCCAAATTTATAATAGCCAACTGAGGTAAACAATTTTTTTTATGAGTAGATTTATAACTTCCACTGAAGTCTCACCACTGTTTTCCAGTTAAAAGTGTCATTATTTCGTCATTATTTAGTCACCAGTAGGAGTTTTTGATGTCTGCCTTAGAGGCCAGGTAGTATTTGCGTTAAAAAAACAACGTAAAAATCCTGGTTGTAGACGGCAAGACAACAAAAAATGATATAAATGTCAGTCAGCCGTAATAAAAACAGTCAGCCATGTTTAATGTTGTTGTTGGCAGTCAATATTGCCTCAGATAAAAGTTCTATCAGTCTATCTATCTATCTATCTAGCTAGCTCGCTAGCTATCTACAAGCAACGACGAAATTATTTGTACACCCATCAATTTTGAATATTTTTATCCATTTCTCAGAATCTAATGCCCTTACGAGGCCAGGGATTTTTTATAAGTTAATAAGCATAAAAAAGGAATATAAAATTCAATTTTCAGAACAATAGGCAATTTATTCAAAATAGGAAAAGACAAAATTATTCGTAGAGTAGAAAATATCGTTTTAAATAGATTGATTCGCGTGAGTATAAGTAATTTACATAATTATTTATTATCTTACATTTCCCCCAAATATATATTTATATATATATATATATATATATATATATATATATATATATATATATATACATACATGCAGTTAATGACGAAGTTATTCGTACACTCATTAATTTCGAATATTTTAATCCATTTTTTAGAATCTAATGCCCGTATGATGCCAGTTTTTAAATATGTCAATAAGCACAGAAAAAGGAATATAAAACTCAATTTTCAGAACACGCGGTTAAATAAAACAAATTTGACAGGCGAATTTTGCAAAATAGGAAAAAACAAAATTATTTGTACAGTAGAAAATATCGTTTTACATAATTAATATATCGGTGAATCATTCTAGACTATTTATTCAGTAGAATCTTTGTGATAATTCCTGCAAAGAATATCACGTGGTACATAGAGTGCCACCATTTTTATTCTTACCTTAACAAAACGATGTGGAAGACAAAGAAGCTTAGCGTTGACTTGAAACAGAGAATTATTAACTTCCATAAGTCGGGAAATAGTTACAGCACTATTTCAAACCGGTTAGCTATCCTTAGATCTAAGGTACACATCATTATAAAGAAGTTTAAACAATTTGGCACGACGATGAATTTGCCTGGGCGTGGAAGAAAACCCAAATTGTTACTGACAACGGAACGAAAACTGTGTCGCTAAGTTAATATAAACCCAAGAGTTGTTTTGAAAGGCATCGCCAGAAGTTTGGATACGATGGGTATTAGCGTAAGTACTTGCACAATACAACGTTGTTTAAATAGAAATGGGTCTTGTGGAATTCGATCACAACGAACCCCTCTTCACAAACCATGACACATTGTTGCTCGGTTTAATTTTGCTAAAATTTTATCGTCAGGGAAGGCTGGCTCAGCTTTCCCTGACGATCCGCTAAGGTGAAACCGTGGTAGGTTGTCTGGTTCTCTAGGTTTTAGGTTTGCTCTACTTATTGTATTGAGCACTTTATTTACTTATTTTGCCTACTCGTATCGGAGTTTTTTTCTTTGGGCTTCGGATTTGCCTGCTAGACGATTATTTTTGGCTAAGGGACAAGTTCTTGGTTCTTTCTTTTTTTTTATACCTTTTTTCCCTTTGGTATTGCTTTTCCGAACGAGTATAGTTTCTTATACTTATAAGATTACTACTACTACTACTAATAATAATAATAATCAATATATATATATATATATATATCTTTTCAGAATTCAAGAAAGAAATTCGGATTACCAATACACAAACAGAGAATGTCTCATATCGAGAATATTTAACATTGAACATGAAGAAAAATTAATTATTTTAATAATATGTGGAAATCTCCACTTTTACCTGAAGACGGTCGCGAGACCAGAAACTCGTGTCGTAAAATTATGTAAAACAAAGCATAATATTTTTTCTAAATAAATCCACATTACAACCAAAAACGTTTGCGGCACCTCTCTTTTCTTCTTTTTAATATACATACTTTTCTCTCGTTGGAACCACTACAACATATTTTTTTTATATATATATATATATATATATATATATATATATAATCCATACTCAAATATTGCTGCGTTTTCGTGGCTTAAAGTTTCATTACATTAGTCACTTCATATCTATCTATGGCAGAATATACATATATCGATATTTTAAGACATTTTATTTTTATAGATTCCTTTTATAGGCACGAATATGCTAATGCTCTGTTTATAATAAACAGTATTAAACATTTACCGTTCTGAATGTCAGAGAAATTTTCTTAGAAAATATTCAGCGTCCGACAGGAATCGAACCATTGTATCCTATACGGACCGTGTAATATAGCCTGACGTGCCTTAACCGATTGAAATTTTCTCGGATATTCAGTCCGGTAAATGTTATTAATACTGTTTATTATAAACAGAGCATTTACTTAAATATTTTTATCTATAAAAAGAATGTATAAACATAAGAATGTCTTAAAATAATTCCCGGACTGTGTCCATTTCATAATGTGTGACGTCATATGTTTACATTTGGATTCGCCATGAGCAGATATGAATGTACATGAGAGATTCATGGAAGATTGTAGTTTAAAAGCAGTAAAATCGACCTTGCTAATCGAACGATCCTCTGTGGCGCAATCGGTTAAGCCACGTCAGGCTATATGTCAGTTTCGTATAGGATACAGGTTCGATTCTTGTCGGAGGATGAATATTTTCTATGACAATTTCTCGGTAAATGTTATTAATATTGTTTATTATAAAACAGAGCATTTGTATCTATAAAAAGAATGTTAAACATAAAAATGTCTTAAAATAATTGTCGGACTTTAACCATTTCATAATATATCTATATCTATACCAACCAGTTCATGTTACTCTGTATATCTTATACGCTTTGCTATTTAGGTCACATGCTCAATTTGATAGTTATATTTAGAACATTTCGACTGTTGTACAACTAAGTCAACTTCAGGTGGGTAGTGGATTAAGGTGTTGCGTAAAGCACATCTGGTTCCCTGGCAGTTCTTAGTTCAATCCCTGGCTCTGGTAGTCTGAAATGAATGATTTTCCCTAAGCAAAGGAAAGAGAAATGAGAAAAAAAACACCTCCGTGGACTGAATAAAGGGTTCGAAATTCTTTTGCGGTTACCGACAAACACCTGAAGAAGGCCGGTAGGAACAGTGGCCGAAATGTGAATAAAACAAACGTGATGCTTCTGCCGGTCCGGATAGTAAGACATATAACAATGAGGAAGTCCTAAGTTTTTACTGACCATATAAGGATTCGAATTCGTTTCGAAATTCTTATATGGTTACAGACAGATACTTGAAGAAGGCCAGTAGAAACAGCTATCGAAACATGAATGCTTATGCTGGTCTGGACAGTAAGACCTACAGGGTGCGATGGATAAATTGTCGTCTAAATGAGGCATAAATGAAAATAACACTGACATCTCATTTTAAAAGGCACACAGGGTGCGATGGATAAATTGTCGTCTAAATGACGCATAAACGAATATAACACTGACATCTCATTTTAAAAGGCACACAGGGTGCGATGGATAAATTGTCGTCTAAATGAGGCATAAATGAAAATAACACTGACATCTCATTTTAAAAGGCACACAGGGTGCGATGGATAAATTGTCGTCTAAATGACGCATAAACGAATATAAGACTGACATCTCATTTTAAAAGGCACACAGATTGCGATGGATAAATTGTCGTCTAAATGACGCATAATCGAATATAACACTGACATCTCATTTTAAAAGGCACGCAGGGTGCGACGGATAAATTGTCGTCTAAATGACGCATAAACGAATATAACACTGACATCTCATTTTAACAGATATATTTACGAAAATTACACAAAAAATAACTTGAAACTCTAAAGAGTAAATTTATTCAATAAAATCGTCAATGGTTTCGGAATCTCCTGCATCTCTTCTGGACGGCCTCCATAGTCCTTGCCTTCAATCTTTAATCTTTGGTGTTACAAGGAGTTTTGTTGGTCTCTCGTTCAACTCCGCCCTACATAAGGATCAAGATGGTTTCAGTCTCGGAAGTTAGAGAGCAGAGTCCTATTGGCAGATATAGTGTCATCCTGTAGCCACCCTCTTGACCGAGGGTAGTACTATCTCCTCAAGGCACTTGGTGTAATACCTCGTTGTTGAGTCTGAGTTAATCACCAAGAAAATCGGGACACCTTTTTTTATCAGAACGATCAGAGTGAATTATCCGAGCTGCCATACCTTCGTAATCACCATTAGACTCACCGGCCTCTTTCCGAATCCTCTGCACTGTCCTCAGATTGCCACCCAAACACACTGAAATATTCGTATTGGAGCATCCGGTGCGAATGCCAAGCAGTACAGCATGCCGTTTCCATATTTCTGGCAGAGTGAATTGCGTCATGGTGCTCTTTTTTTTTACAGACGGTGCCCAACTGACCCTACGATACTGTGCAGTCGACAAAATCAAAAACACGTAACGCGCATGCGCGAAGTTAAAAATATAAAATGGCGACAATTTATCAATCGCACCCTGTATGACAGCGAGGTTTACTATCTAAGGTTTAGATTCTAAACAATGTGGGCTTGTCCGTATCTAAGCTAAATAGTTTTTATAAGGCCTGAAAATTTTCATTTTCTGTCTGAGTTGCTGAGAAAAAATAAAATAAACAAAAGGAAACATTTTTGTCCTCCTTGCTGAACTTCAATTTATTTATTTGTTTATTTTATTATTTCAGTTTTTATTTATTTATTTTTGGCGTCAAATATAGGTTTTCACAATTGGGATGCTTCAACACGCGTAAGAAAATTGGGGGCTTCAACTCTGTAATGTAGAAGCCATTGTTCAGTTTTACATAAATAAGAACTTTTTGAGACAAAGCTTCGTTTTGACAGCTTCATTTTAAACTTCAGTAGTTGAAGGTGTTAAATAGGTGTTAAAAAAAAAGCAAACAATTTTTTTTCTTTTCAAGATGGCGGTTCGAGTTAAATTTTCTGCGGTTATTGTCAAGGGAGAAATTGGTATTTGCACGGCTTTTAAAACGGTACAATCATGAGGATTGAGCGAAAAGAGGGATGCCAAATTACAAAACTTACAACAATGAATTTAAAAAAAAATCAGTTTCACCCCAATCAAGGCAGTAAAGCCACTAAGACACAAGGGGTAACAGGTTGTAACAGAATTAGGAGCAGAAATATTAATAATGAGCGGGAAAAGTAAAGAGTATGACAGTAGATAGAGATTGATATTGCATTTAAATTTTTGCAGATTAAAGTTCGCTGAAAAGCATAGAGCTGGAAGGGAGTTCCACGAGCGATAAATGCGAGAAAAAAAAATTACGGTTACATCTATTCAGCTCAACCGTAAATTGATGAGTTCTCGATGGCAGTCGGTATTACTCCATGAAAGGTGCCACTAAGACACAAGGGGTTAAAGGGTGTAGAGGAATTTAGAACAGAAACATTCATAATGAGCGGGAAGAGGAAAGAATAATGGGGAGGACAGTAGATAGCGATTGACATTCTATTTAAATTCTTGGAGATTAAGTTTGGCTGGAAAGCAAGGAGACGGAAGAGAGTTCCACAAGCGAGAAGTGCGAGAAAAGAAACTGTTAGCATAGATAGATAGATAGATAGATAGATAATGAACATATTGTGATAGATAGATAGATAGATAGATAGATAGATAGATAGATAGATAGATAATAAACATATTGTGGTAGGTAGGTAGATAGATAGATCGATATAAAAAGATTTACATACAATAGATAGATAGATAGATATAAAAAGATTTACATACAATAGATAGATAGATAGATAGATAATGAGCATATTGTGATAGATAGATAGATAGATAGATAGATAGATAGATAGATAAGGAACGCACTCGAATATATAGATAGATTTTTTAATTGTTTTCACCTCATGCAAGGTAGCAAAGCCACTAAGACACAATGGGTTACAGGGTGTGGAAGAATTATGAACAGAAACATGAATGACGAGCCGGAAGAAAAAAAGTGTAATCAGGAGGACTGTAGATAGCAATTGACATTGCAGATTAAAGCCAACTGAGAAGCATAGAGCTAAACGAATTTTCCACAAGCGAGAAGTGCGAGAAAAGAAACTGTTAGCATAGAATTTACGGCTATATCTAGCCAGCTCAATTGTACATTTATACTATTTCGTCCCCAGTCTAGTACGGCGCTTATATTCATAAAGTCTAGGTGCCATAGCAAAGAAGCTCATCCGTACAATTTCTTCTTTTCCTATGTGCTGCGATTTATAGGCGATCATAGTTCTCCACAACTTTCTATCTCTTGTAGATCTTAGCAGTCTTTCTCAATTTGCTAAGGCACCCACATCCCGATCCGCCGTCCATTTACACAAGCTCATCAGCTAAGTGGGTAGCTGCCTTCCTCTACCTCTCTTGCCTTCAATATACCCTGTGAGGATTAAGTTTTCTAAGCCCTCCTTCCTTATTACGAGTCCAAGGAATTTCAGCTATCTGTTCTTGATTCTGAGTAGAAGTGTTCTTTCTGTTGCCATTTTTCTTTGATAGTTCCTTGTTACTTATTCACACTGTCCATGGAATTCTCAGTATCCTTCTGTAGGACCACATTTTTGATGCCTCTAGTTTTCTCCTCATCCGTATGGAGATTGTCCAGTATTGCCTGACATATAAGGGAATAGATATCACATCGCAATCCATAAGATATTTTTTTTTGTTTCTAAAGATTTTTTTTCTGTTTCTCGGCATCTTGCTTAGCTTTTGGAATGCTTCTTTCGCCAATCTAATGCTTTTTCGGATCTCGGTGTCATCTTTTCCTTCCTCTGATGAAACATTTCCCAGACATTTAAACTTTTACACCTTCTTTAAATTGAAAGTCGTATCTCGAGGGTTTTCTCTTGCTGATGACCACGCTCTGTGTCTTCTTGCAGTTGATGGTTACTCCTTTTTACTTGTTTTCCTTCACTGCTTTTTCTTAGAGGTCCTGTAGTTTTGCTTCTGTGTCAGCCATCAAGACAGTATCACCTGCATTTCTTAGATTATTAAGATTACACCTGTAACAATACGATTTCTCACACACTATTAAGAGATAAACTATCAGGTCATCCCATAAGTTCTGTCTAAATTTTGAATAAAGAAAACAAGTGACCAAATGTTACATTTAATTACAGATTAAATCAACAATGTATTTTCCCTGATTATCTATGACTTCCTTCCATCTATTAACAAACTTACTAATTCCATTACTCTAAAATTCTTTTGGTCTTGATTCGAAGAACTCACAAATGTTAGTTTTAACCTCTTCATGTGTTACAAAAGCTGTTTCTTCTAAATGATTCTGTAAGCTACGAAACAAATGGTAGTCTGAAGGAGCAAGATTGGGAGAATAAGGTGGATGAGGAATTTTCTCCCAACCAAGTTCTTCGATCTTTTGTGACGTGATTCTTGTGGGTTCGCGCATTGTCCTGATTCACTAGAGCAGGTCTTTTTTCTCCTCAAAGCTTGGTTTAAACGCTCTAATTGCTGACAGTATATTTGAGCATTAATTGTTGCATCAGGTGGTAAGAATTCAAAGTGGATTATTCCTTGGCGATCCCACCAGATTGAAAGAACAATTTGCTCATGAATTTCCCTTCTCGGCTGTGGTTGGGGTCCTTCCCCTTTACCAAGCCACTGTCTATGATGCTTAACATTTCGAGAAAAGATCCATTTTTCGTCGCCAGTCACAAGTATATCCAAAAAGGTGAAACAAGTTGGTGAGAATGGAGAGAAGAGCAGATGTCAACTCGGGATTTGAGGTTGTTTTCAGACAAATCATGAGGCACCCATTTTCCAAGTTTAGGAACTTTTCCAAGTTGCTGAAGATAATGATGAACAGTTGTATGGTTTGAACTGAGAACCATAGCCAATTCCTCAACTGATAAATCAGGATTTTCTTCAAGGGCTGCTTCAAGAAGTTTTTCATCAAACTCAACTGGACGTCCGGTTCGATCTTCATTTTCAAGAGTGAAATCTCCACCTCTGAATTTTGCAAACCACCTTCTGCAAGTTCTTTCATTCACACATTCCTTTCCATAAACCGAGTGAATATTTCTAGCCACTTTGGCTGCTGAGTTTCCTTTCTTGAACTCATAAAGCATTATGTGCCTCAAATGATTCTTGGGTTCTTCCATGTTAGCAGGGTTTAATCAAACAAAATTTAATTTTATTGTTCTCTGAAATAAAATTTGATCAGTTTAAATGCATCTGAACATAAAAATAATGTTCAGCTCCATTAGACATTATAAAATACTCTTTAAATTTCGTTCATTTTAACGAAAAGTTAAAATTCGGACAGAACTTAGACTTCGGACATGACCTGATAGATAGACTTCTTTTCCTTTGGGTCAACCTAAGTACCCAAAGCTTTCGAGAAATTCATCTCCAACCCATCTTTGAGTCAAGTGTCAGATATTTTCAGGATTTCTGACTCCAGCTGCCTTTGAATTGGCAAACGTAAAATGTTGTTAATGATTTTAGATACTCATAAATGTAGAATCTTTTGAAGATTTCACCACTGATCTGCCTTTCAGTGGTCTCATGTTCTATAACACAAAGGGACGGATAGGGGTGGCTGGACCCCAGCCAGTATCCATATAAGTAGAGAAAGGGGTCCAGTCAGCAAGAATGTAGATAGTTGACCAGTGAGTAACTATTCAGCGAGGAAGGAACCAGGGGGAAATTAGGGAGATAGCAGTTCAGCTGAAGGAAAACATATCCGGCTAAGTGAGAATTCGTATTGTTGCTATTTCCCAACCAGCGAGTCTTGAAAAGCAATTGTTGTTATTCTTGTGCACATAGCTAGTCGGGTGTATATGCAGACACAGCCGACCTTGGATGTCCTGACGGGTGCAGTGAACGACGGACGAGCGGAGGACGTCGTCACACGCCAATCGATAATAAATCCTGCCAGGGTCTCCAGTTCACTTAGGATAGCATTACTAAAGAGTTTGAATGAATCTGGCGAGACGGCACATCCTTGTCTCACACTGCTTTCTATTTTTGTGTAGTTACTCAATCAGCATGCAGTCGCTTTGCTCCCAGTGTAAGTTCTGGATTATTCTAACATCGTTTCCAAATAAATAGTTTATTTTTATCCATCTTGCTTCGCACGGACTCCTTTCGGAAAATCAATATGGCTCCAGTTTCGACGTTTTAGCGGCCATCACGGTTAGAGTTAAGAATGACGAAACTCGGGCGTTGGCTCTAGATATATCAAATGTGGGATTACCCTAGGGCTCTATCCTTTGACCTGTTACGGATATATTATTAATGACTTCCCCGATGTCATCAGTTACCGACTATATATTTATGTAGGTGACACCACGCTTTATTCTATCTTAGTAGCAAATCTGACATACCCGACAAAATAAACCTGGCAACAGACCCACAATTAGTGGTTAACTGGGGCAAGAAATAGTTTGTAAACTTTAACGCCCCCCCAAATCATTTAACCACCATAGGGAACCTTTTCTGCATACTATCAGGATGGCTGACACTAGACTCCAGGCGAGAAACACTCTACGCCTTCTTGGCCTCACGTTTTCCACTGAGAGGAATTGGAACGACTATATCGAATCAATTGATATGTCTACTCCTAGGAAAATTAGTTCACTGTGACGTGCCAGAAGATTTTTTTCGTCAGAATACATCTTGCCCATTTATAAATCTACCATTCGTCCGTGTATTGAATATTGCTGCCATATCTGGTCTGGTGGCCCTGCTCGATATCTCGAAAATCTTGACAAAATTCAAAGAAGACTCTGTGATGTAATCGATCCTGACCTCGCATCTCGTTTCAGTTACATCCGCATCGACGTGGCGTGGCTTCCCTCTGTCTTTTCTACAAATATTTTCATGGCAACTGCTCTGACCAGCTTTTTTACCTAGTGCCTCAGCTACATGGATTGAAGTGTGTTACTAGATTGGCAACTAGGTCTCACCTTTTTACTGTAGAACTAGCTCGATGCAACCGCTACTTCTATCCTAACAGTTTCTTCTTTTCGCATTTCCTTCCGATTTCTTGCTTCCCTGATAACTACAATCTTCAAACATTTAAATCCAATGTCAATCGCCATTTTCTATCTTCATGAACAGAATCCATTTATTGTTCTTTCCTCAATCTTCCCCACTAAAATCATTCGCATTCTCTTTCATTCCCTGTAACCTCCTGCTTCTAAGGACACTATCGCCTTGTTTGGGGGTGAAACGATAAAAACAACAAAACAGCAAAAAATCAAACAGAAAAACAAAATAATAATAATAGTAATAATAATCGAAACCACTGAGTGATGGTATGGCCACCAAACAGACACAGCTAACCAAAATAACGATGTAACTATCCTCAGGGACATGCCAATTCAAACTGAGAGGGAAATAAAAGCTGACAGACCTGATATTATCATAAAAGACAAGAAATTCAGGAAGTGTATGCTTATTGACATAGCAGTAACATCTGAGAGAAACACCTCCATAAAAATATCGAGAAATTATCCAAATACAAGGACCTGGAGATCGAGATTAACAAGATGTGGGGAATGAAGACTGAGACTGTACTAATAGTAATCGGAGCACTGGGCCTCATGAGAAAAGGAATGGACAATTTTACTGACAGTGTCTCAGGTAATATCAACATAAAAGTTACCCAAAAAATCGCCCTACTAGGAACATCCCATCTAGTAAGAAAAGTGCTATCATTTATATGACAATTCTCCTATAGAGCCTAAGGACCATAGTTTGGATCCGGCTCTACAGGATACAAAGCAGGAAACATAACATACAGAAATAATAATAATAATAATAATAATAATAATAATAATAATTTGCCGAGAAGATCGTC